AACTCATTTCTATCAATCTATGTATTTCCATGTGGTCTTTGCTTACCAGGGAGAATGCCTGGGCCTGTAACTCCTTTGGAGGCTACTTTTTGTCTGTCCCTGCCGGGCTCGCTCCACCTACCTTTCCCAGAATTCTCCTCTTCTCCTAGCCCCACCTATCTTTCTGCCTGGTCAATCAGTGTTTTATTCATCAACTAATAAGAGAAACATAGACAGAAGAACATCCCCCATCAATGAGGACATTGTTTTTGAGGTTGAAAGTAAAGAAACCAACTCAGTTGCTGAAGGGGTAAGTTACCAAGAAGATTCTAAAGCATTTTGGTGAAATCCAAGGACACAAATCCAAGGGCAGCTCTTAAGGGGATACAGCAAGCCAACTGTTAGGGAGAGCCTGGGTGCAGCAATCCGAGGTGGACTCAACGATCTGCTTGAAGTCTGCTTCCAGCATCCCTGAGCAGGGCTGGCATCTCAGTCCCTCAGTATTCTCTGTACCAAGGGCATTTGCTTCATAATGTATCCAAACAGGAGAAAATATATAAACAAGTACTTTGTAAATTGTAAAGGGACGTATCAATGGAATCGCACCTAAAGCTATCTCAAATACAATGTAATCTGTTCCAGTGCTTTCTCCTCCAAACTTGGCTCTTCTGCCTTCAGAGCACTGCCCTCCACATGTATGAAGCATCACAGACTGCAAGCCTCCCATTAGAACATATTTTATCTAGGCAGCACATGCATGCTGTATTTCTTTGGCCCAGTGCCTCCTGAGAGTGCACTTCTGTGGAAGTCATCAGCTGCCATTCTTCTCTGTATCTCATTAAAGGCCAAGTTTCCCGTTAATGCACATGAAGACCTCTCATTAGCCATAATGGGAGCTGCACGCCTCACAGAGAAAGATAGCCCCTCACCATTGTGGTATAGATGAGGTTATCGGGATACTCGCCTACCTGATGGGAAAATTAGAACATTCTGAGATGCATGGTTAAATCAAGGAACAAACTAAAACCTTTGTGACTATTTTTAAAATGTATGTGTAGCGCGCGCGCGTGCATGCACGCACACACGCGCGCGCACACACACACACACACACACACACACAATTTTAAAACCTCTACATGGAGAAGGGCAAGAATCTAAACCAAAGAATCACTGGCAGATTGAAATTAGGAATGAGTTGGGCCAATGAGAGCTAAACGACAAGCAAAGGTGAGGAAAGACTATCCAGGACTGTTTGACAAAGTAAGCATCCTTTCCAACTCAAAGATGCCGCTTCTGTATGGCCAGTCTGGGTTCTACCAGTAGCTATGGAGCCAACATTAAGATGCATTATAGGGGGGTGCACATTTTCAAGTCTCAACAAGAATGCCTACAACAGTTACAATGAACAAATTTCCAGGTTCGCTATCCTTTTCATTATCTCCAGAAGTTTGAACCAAGCTCATGCCCAATCCAACAAAAAAGTTCATACACCTGATATGTGAATACCTGTCCAGTAAATGCGCTCTAACACCGGCCTACGCTACAGGACATCACTGCTTCATCACTGTATTGCCAACATGACAGTCTCAGCTGTACATCTGCCCCTACCCAGTGTCTGAGTGGAAGCGAGATGACCTGAAGCACTCTCTAAGGTACCAAGGGCACCCATCTTCCTCTCTTGGGTCTTTTACACAAAGCTCTTCTGACTCCTGGACCAAGTCCAGGGGCAGAGTCTGTCTTCTCTTTTTCTTTCTAATAAGCACCTGATACATAGCAGATTTGATAAATATTTATTACATGAAAAGCAAATAAAAGAATTAGTAAAGGTTAGAACTTTCATGGGGAAAATGTTCAGTGAAAAGGAAAAGGAAATGGGCTATGATTTATTACATTAAGTGGGTTACGAATTGTTTGCTATAAAGACAGGACTTACAGTACCAGCAAATGAAGCTGACCTAAGTTTTCTGCAAACACAAAAAACATGCTATGAACAATGTAGTAACATTTAGAAGGTAGAAAAACTTTATCTCAATCCATGAGAAATCATACTAACGTCTATTATCATAATCACATTTCCACCTCTAAGCTTCAAAAAATGAAATATCCTTTAAACATTTGATCTAAAAATAAGGGATATAAGTCTTATGTCTGGATACTAACCAAAAGATTTGAAATCAGTGATGCTCACCCACAACATAGATTTAATCTAAGTGTACACCAATAGATGAGTGAATAGACATACTATGAAAAATATGTACAATGAACACTATGTGGAAGAAATGCTGTCATTTGTAACATGGATAGAATACCAGAGCATGAATTGCTCTAAGTCACACAGGCCAAATACAGATCAAATGCTATGTGCCCTCGATATTTCTATCTGAAACAATTAAGCTCCTGGAAGCAGATACAGTGATGGAACAAAGTCTGGCAATGTGGGTGGCACAGCATAGGGAGATGATAACCAAATGCTGGGCAGAAGGAGTGTTTTGAAATGTTAGGAAACTTGGTTGCTAAGCACTGAAACATGCTACATCTCAAAATTACAGAGTGGATCCCAACTGTTGTCAGGTTATCAACTATTGGAGGTGATAAATAACATGGTTTGCTTGATGTGGTCATATTATATTCACAAGCCATGCCACTTTATGATATACAAATGCATGTAATTAGTGTAAACATAAATCTTGTATATGGGAGACCAGTGTCTATGTACATGTGCCCAGGCCACTTGGGATGTTCTAAATCTTTCACTGTCTTCCTCCTTTTGAGATGGTGTCTCACAGTCAATTGAAGTTAGGTAGTCAATGAGCCAGGTGATGCCCCTGCCTCCACACCCCACAGCACTGGAAGTTACAGACCATACATGCACCACATTCACTCCTGCCCACTAAGCACCTCTTCAGCACTACACATTTTTATGAAAAAAGGTACTGAAGTTGCTCAAACATGTTGTAGCTCTCTCTGGTATTTAAACATTAATGTAATTAAATGTTAATGTAAAATATACTTTAATTCCTTAGTACTTAGCATTCAATTTTCTATCAGATCAACACACTAGATTTTCCTGCCTGTTTTTAGGTAAATAAATGACTGTTAGATCTTGTACTAAGTTCATGGGCCTTTGCATTTCAAGTTAAAGAAACCACAAATATTTATGAGTGACATTCATTGGTCTGTGAAAACATTTCAGTGTAGTACTGAAACTGAATTCCAGTCTGAAGCTTGTGGTGGTATATTGTTTATGATCTAGTAAAGCTTGCCTGGAGATCAGAATGCAAAGCTAGTCACAGCCACAGAAACCAGGCAGTGGTGGCACACACCTTTAATCTCAGGACTCAGGAGACAGAGGCAGATGGATCCCTGTGAGTTCAAGGCCATCCAGCATTACACTAGAGTGAATCAGTCTAAAAGAGAATCAGTCTAAAAGAGATCACACCTTTAATCCCAGCTCTAGGGAGGTGGAGACTGGAGTGATATGGCTGGGCAGAGAATATAAGGTGTAAGTAGACAGGAACTCAATGCAATCTCAGTCAATCTGACCAGCAGAGCAGTGCAGTCTGGAGCAGCCTGAGGCTCGGTGGATCACCCCTTGGGTCTGAGCATTCACAGAAGTGAGAACTCTCTAGTGGCTGGCCGCTTTGCTTCTCTTCAGCTTGAAGCCCAATATCTGTCTCTGGGTTTGTTCTGTTGATGCTACAGAAGCTATTCCCCAGCACTACATACTGTGACAGAGCTTACTTAGGAATTATTTCTCACAATAGTTCCCAGTAAGAAATCACTGGTCTATTTAGCAAGCATTCATGTTTTACTGACTTAGTGGAATGTAAACATAGGAAGGACATAAGGATCAGAGCTCTAGAAAACACAGGGTCAATACTAGTAAGGTTATCTTACACCATGAAAAGAGCAGTAGTAATAAAGAGGATGTCTGAGCTGACTGTCCTCCATTTCTCTCTGATACCTCAGGAGTAATAAAACTCCAAGTCCAGGCAAATAGAATACAGGGAAACAAATCAAGAGCACTCAGTGTCCTTCCTTCAAATGTCTTAAACAAGGGGCCACCAGGGGCAGGGAGACCAATCTACAGAACATTTCCTTCCCCACCCCCAAATAAGGACTGAGCCCAGGGCTTCCTGCATGATAGGCAAGTTCTCTACCTGTAAGCCTTGCAGAACCCCATTTGAAGACAATTTGGACAGATATTTAAAATTTACAAAAACCTCTTGGCCAACAGGCCCATTTTTAGGAATTTATCCTAGGCAAATAATGACATACAAAACATAGAAGCAAAATTAGAAAACTGGTTGATCTCTAAAATGTTCAAAGTTCTAGAACAGTTTTAAGTTAAAACTCTACCACACCCTTCACTGACTGTTTAGAATATCAATATTCTCACAGATGACTAATTTCTTCACAGCTGGATAATTCTGGGATTTATACAAATGTGGGATCTTCAATACTCTTTCAAATATGTAGCCAGCACACACATGAGCCTCCTGCCTCAGTATCCTCAGCACTGAGATAATTCACAAGTGGGTGTCACCATGCTTTGTGTATAAAATTATTCAAGTATGTTTGTTCCAACACACTATTCTCCTATGTTTTCTTCCTCCGTGTATAACACTCAGTGATAATACAACACTTTGTGGTATAGGAAGATAAAAGTCCTAAAGAAATATACAAAAGATGAATTTGATCATCTGATAAAATGACTTTTTAAAATTCTCCTACTTGGTGTTCTATGAGTATGGAAACTGGTGCCCATCAATTGAAGAAAAAGGATACCTCTGAAGAGTATATGAAGTGCCCACAGGCAAACAGAGCAGAGGATAAGGGAGCCCAGCTGCCCAGAAAAGGAGGTGCGAGGTGGGAGGGGATGGGAGTGGAAGCTTGTGAAAGGACAGATGGACAGCAGTGAATACCACAGAAGCTGAGTGCCTGAAGCCAGAGCTTGTGAAGCCTCTGGCCGAGACCTCTTTCATCTTTTTGGAAATAAAGAACCGAAACAAAACACAAAGGCAAGTGAACAATCAATCAAGGTTTTATTATTGGCCAGAAAGACATTGGAAATCCTCTCCACTGTGCAGCACAGAAATATGTTTCCAAGAGTCACTCTGGTGGAGTCTCAACCATCTTCTCAACTTTCCCTGCAAACTTCCTTTTCTTAGTTATTGTATTCTTGAAGAGCCTGGGCCATGAAGAGCTTGCCTAAGTTTTGGGCAGTGAACTCCTTGATGTTCTGGCAGTAAGTGTTAATCTGGCCTGCATATTTGAAAAAGAGAATCATAATTAATGTTCAACAAACTGCAAAATGGCCTAGAGTGTTGAAACCAAAATCACCTGTATTTTAAGTCAAGAATTCAATAAAGAAAAACAACCCAGTGATATTTTTCCACAGGAGATGTCTTTCGTAAAGAGCCTATCTCCCACTCTTGGCAACATAAAGGAAAAACTCATCAACCACAGGCTGTCCACTGACAGCTGACTATTCAGATCAGCTCCACATTATGTTCAGACAACTGAGAAAACAGCACAGGCTCTCCCCAGTGGGCAGGAGGATTAACAAAATAAAACCACAACCTGCAACTCAACAAGATTCACTTCACCAGGCCCACATGTGAACAGCCACCTTAGTTTGGAATATGACTTTTGGATGTACTAAGAGCCCTTCCTTTGGGTTATAACTAAGCAAGAGTCCAGACCCCTCGAAGGTCTGGGGGGGGGGGGGTTGATGTCAGAAAGCTAGCACAGCTACACATGACTTAAATACAAGCACCACAGACCACTCGAACTTGACCTAAAGCAAGAGCATATGTTTCAGTTCCTCTAGTCTAAAAACTGCAAAACATTTATTTAAAACAAAAACTTTATGACAAATTTAAAACCCATGGCAGTCCCCTATTCCACACATAAATATGGACGGACCACATGACAATTTTTTTTTTTTTAAAAGAGCCCACTGCAAACAGTAAAGGGGCCAGTGAGACTAGCTCACTGTGGAAAAGTGCCTGCAGCCATGGCTGATGAGGAGTTCTATTCCCAGGACCCCCCTGGTGGAAGAGGAGTTTTCACACAAAATACATACAATTATAATCCTAAGAAGAAAACAATGAAAAAAGGTGATGCAATTATTTATACTTATGAGAGAGGAGCTTCCTCATGCAGACAATGCATTGTCCCATAAGACTCTCATGATCCAGGCAGGATAAACCATGACTCTGTAAAGGTCCTAGGGAGATTCCCTTGTATGCCACTGGTCTTTTAGAGTCTTGCCAATGTTCCCATCTCATTTTCAACACAAAGTTCACTGAAAAGCTGCTCCGAATGTAATGTGACATCACAATGTGGCCATCTACTGCACTGATCACAGGTGACTGAACTTTCAATGAGAATACATAATCATGAGCCTGGATGTCACAGGAGTTAGAATGTAAGAACTCAAAAGTCCTATTCATGAAGAAGGACAGCCATTATCAGTCAGTTGAGACTGTAGATCATCTACTATGGGCCACCGTCTCAAGAACTTTGACTTGGAGCCAGGTTGCAATACAAGTTGTAGATACCTGAGGAAGACCATGAATTAACAAAAGGCACAGGGAGCCCGCCTAGCACACAGACTCCTTTACCATGGTGCTCACAGAAACCATCAAGTCTCAGGGTATATTAGAGCTTGAAGGAATCTGATTTTCACCTTCTCGATTAGTAAACTGTAGAAAATGAGCTTTTATGTTTTCACTCTAATAGTTTCCAAAGACACTAGCTGACGGAAGAATCACATTTAACAAAACCTCCATAGAAATATTATAGCCAAGAGCTGGGCAGTGGTGGTACACACCCTAATCCTAGCACTCCGGAGGCCAGCAGGCTACACTGTGGGATCATACATCCACCAAGACAAATGCAGCCACTGAAAGATGCCAAAACTAAGTATCCACTAAGAAGGTTCCTTTCTGCATCACTACAGTAGAAGAAAAGGCAGTATTTTCCTTACATCTAAGTCCTTTGCAGTTCCTCATGAGGAGAGCTGAAAAGGGCTTCAATTACACAGTCTTTTCATTATGAGCTTATAAACCCTTTTTTTAGATTCCCACGAATGGCATCTCACATAAAACCTATTCTGGAAAGCTAATAATGCCAGCTCAAAAGTGTTTATACACATATACCAAGTGAAGCCCTGCAAGGATCCAAGACACAAAGGGGTTACAAATGCTTAGCCACAGAAACTGCAGGTGCTAGACACAAATTAAACTCTTCCATTTATAAACACTACTTTTTACAACTCATTATCTATGAATCCCTGAAGAAAACAAGAAGCCACATGTGTCCCCATGGCTAGCAATACCTGCAATGAGCAGTGAATCCATCCTGGCAGGGGCCTGGTGGGGCTTGAAGAGTTTGGAGAGGTCCTCCTCGGGGAGCGGGGGCTCCCCTCGACTCTGGCGCTGCATATTTTCCTGTTGGCGACGCTGCTGATACTAAATTAAAAGGGGAAATGATTTAGTTACTTTTATTAATCAAGAAAACAAAGACCCTGCATGTGTGTGTGCACACACGTACATAGACACCCAGCAAACCTGGCAGCTCTGAATTCCAAACAGAGTTTCCATAAATGACAGTTCTTAGTAACTGGCTTCTGTGACGCTCAATGGAGCAGTGATATAGAGAGCTCATTTTCCATCAACTCCAGTTTCACTGTGTGCTCTAAGAGGTTACTACTGCTTCAGAGGGCAGCCTTGGCGGCAAAGGGCCTTAGAGAATTATGATTCACCATTGATGAGTTAACACTTTGGACAAAGGGTTTATTCATCCCAACATTAACAACCCACTAACAAACTACTGACCCAGAATAACATCAACAGTAAGAAAACCATCAAGGTAATTCTGCTGCAGCTGCCTTCTTGTTACTCTATTGTTCCTCATGCTCATCTGTGTCTAGCTCATACCACCTCACACATCCTTCTAAAACACATACTCTGAATGCCTAACTGTAAGGGTGGTAGTAATACACTCAAAGACAGTGACTAGAATAAACCCATATGCCAATTACAATGAAGACAGTAAACTTTTAGATGGCTTATTACAGCAGCAAATTTAAGGTCAAGTAATGCAGACCACTGTGGAATAACACATGCTTCCAGTGCTTGGATCCCTAAGAAAACCAGTGGGAATTATTGTTCTAAAGAAGCACAACTGGCTTTGCTTTGCAGAGGTCTCACCATACAGGAGAAGGGACACTAGAACAAACCGAAAAGGGATTCTGAACAGTGTCTGTCACAAATCACAAACATCAATGTGAGACTTCAGTATACTAAAACAATGAATTCATTTAGTGTACTGACACCCCATGTGAGTCCTTTCCCTGCTGAAAAACAAGCAAGAAAATGAAACAAAGCCGGGGTCCCATCCTCTCTCTGCTAAACTGATACTATCAGTTTATCAGACACTATCCACTGTATGTTCTGTTTAAAAAAACTTTACAGTGTTCTCCATTCAAACGTGGAGAAACCATGTATTTTAAATTCACTATATATGTGAACTGATGCTAAGAGTCTTTTAAATACAACACTCTCAGAACTACTAACTGTGCTTAGCACAGTGTGTTTAACAACACTTGGTATGTAGTACATTTTAGCAGAATGGTCATATTTAAACACCATTTTCACAGATAAACATTCTGAAGTCAATTTACCTATGAATCAAAGGATAAGAACATTTTAGAGTATTACAGAAGTATTACAAGACAACACAAAAGCCATGTGACCATCAGGTAACACGATAAAGAAAAGGTTAAATGCACAAAGGCCATGAATGTACATGTGAGAATATTTGGGCAATCCTAGGGTTTTTATCTGTACTATACTATCTATTTCACAGCAGTTGGTCTATTATTTCCTATCAAAATCACTTGCTCTTAATCACAATTGCTCAGTTTTTAAATGAACTGAAGATTGCTAAGTATGCCGCAATGAGCCACTACCAAACCAATTACAGTTAGTGAAGAAATGAGCTGTGACACTGTGACTCTCTTCTGCCTCTGATTTTCTCAATAATGTATCACCTATTTGCATAACCTTGGCATTAGACTCTGAGCCAAACAGAACTGCTCCATAGGTCAGGTATTTTAAGTACAAGTGTAAACAAGTAAGACTCTATAAAGACTATTCTCTTAAGACATGAGAGTCATTAGGTTAGCAGAAGCACTGTCCCCACAGTCCTGCAGGACGCCTGAAGCATGTGTTCTACAGTGGATGGCAGCTGAGTTCTCCATGCTCACCTGATGTTTCTGCTGCTGCTGTTTACTGGTGTTCCTCATGTATGTGTTGTATTTGATTATGTCCTGGCTCATCTCATCCACCCGGTCCATCAGCAACTGGAGATTCTTCCCCAAATGATTGCTGAAAAGCAAAGCGCATTGACATGTCATTCTTCAGGTTCCTACTTTCAGTGTGCTCTCAACGGTTCTGAGATGTTAACCAAACCTGCCTTTTGTTAAAGGAATGAGCCCATATGCATATAGAAGCAGGGTAGCCAATAGTGAGAGCTTGTTACTAAGCTTCCCAGTCAACCTCAAGCATAACCTCATGAGTGTCTGTGCTAGTTCTGTTTCTGACTGTCAAACACAGGGATGAGGGCCAGAACTGTTCAGAATATCTAGTCAGACATCTATAATGGGCATTTTTTAAAAAGCCAAGTGTAACTTAAATTCTGTACTCCTGAACTTTTTTCCTTAAAACCTTTCCCTCATGCCCCCCGGGACTTCAAATTAGTAGTCACCAAAAAAAACCATGTAAACAATTAAAGTTCCTTAAACTGCAGTTTTTGTCAGCCAGGGTCTAAACGCAAGTCCAGCATTTGCTATGCACAGCAGATAAAGACCATTCAGAGAATCCTGGTAGGTAGTCTTTCATACTCCTTTCTCTTTTCAGAAACTTTCGTGCAGTTCAGTTACTAATATTTTCTTAAGGGATGTTATGATCAACAGAATGACCACAATACTCGCCACTGCTGCTTGCAATCATCATCGCTACTTCAAGGAAGCCTGAACAACTGATAGGCACATATATTCCAACAGCACTGACTGACAACCAGTACTCCCATTCACTAAATTCAGACAGACATTTGCTAAAGTGTATTACAGGGCAGTCTCAGCCATAGGAAACAGAGAGACAGCAATGAATCAGACACACATGCTCTCCATCTTCACTGGACCTGTAACTGCAGAGAGCTGAAGAGATGCCTTAAACAGTATGTCGGAATATCTCTGAGAAAATGACAGGCAGAAAACAGAGGATTAGGAGTAATCTATGCCCAAAAAAAAAAAAAAAAAAAAAACGTTGCAGAGAAAAGATAAGTACAAGTGATGAAGGCTTGAGACCGGCAAGAAATAGGCATTTCAAAGTCCACTTGATTTAAAAGCAAAAACCACCCAAGGAGCCCAGAGGTCACGTAGTTTGTATGAATGAATCTTCTCTACAATGTGAAAGTGTCCCAGCCAATTAACGACTAACCTAACCTACCTCCTTTAAAATGATTAGCACAACGAAATTATGTTCATTTTAAAAACACTGAATTGAACCAGGTGTGTTGGTGCAGTCTTTAATCCCAGAACTTGGGAGGCAGAGGTAGGAAGATCTCAAGAGTTCAAGGCCAGCCTGGTCTACAGAGTAAGTTCCATCCAGAACAGACAGGACTAAACAGAGAAACCATGTCTTGAAAAACCAAACTAAACAAAACAAAACCAGGAATAGTGATGTGTGCCATCCCAGAGAAAAATGCCCTTAGCCTGAGCAAGCCCAGCCACAGTGACCACGAACTCCTGCTTTACAGAAATGGGGTGTCACAGGGGGCCAGAGTGCTGGTGCTCCATTTCCTGTCTCAGCTGCCAACTGGTTGAGGAAGAAGCTGGCTGGGAAGCTTGGGACCAAATCAAAGTAAATCTAACTCAATTATGGATCCCATCTGTAACCAGAAAATTATAAAGTTTGGGTTCTTTCTTAAATGGTACTGTAATAGAATGTGTGCACACATGTAAATAAATTTACGTTTTAATCATAGTCAAGCGATTCTTAAACAACCTTGACTCATTGAGTTCACCTGCCTAATCTCTATCCCCTTCCTCTCCCCATTTCTTTCCTCTTCTTTTCTTCCTACAGGGTGTCATGGAGCCCAAGCTGGTCTCATACTTGCTGTCAATGAGGCTAACCCTGTACCAACCTCCCCTACCTTCTTGCCACTATCTCCATAGTGCTGGTATTTTATACATGTGTCACCACACCTGGCTTCAGGTGCTACTTTAATACTAATACTTAATTCACATTCATAGTATTCCATTGAAATTTTGAACCACTTTTTAACTTGAAAAATATTTCTTCTCTGAGCATTGGGTATTTGTTGCTGTTTTCTAATTTCTTAATAGTTTGATTTTAATCCAGCCAGACTCAAGTGTTTGGGCATATGGTGCAAGATGAGGAATGAGAGGGATTTTTTTTTTTTCCTAGTATCTAACCAAATGTCCAGAACCAGTGATTAGTCACATTGCTTCCCAAATAATTCAGAATTAATTTAACAATACTGCATCTCACACTCCTTCTTTCAACACGTACTGGGGCCATACTTTCCCTGCCAGTCACTCCCTTAGACAGTAACAATTAATCCATAAGATATTACTGCACTTAACACATTGTACCGAGAAGAAAGTAAAGAGATAAGTGTGCACAAGTGGTTAAGTGCTGTAACAGATGTACAACAGATGCCTATAAAAGATGGTTTGGTAGGAAAAAGTGAGACCCTCCCAGATTATCTGACAACTAAATTTGAGGTTTTTTGAAAAGGAGATGGTGGCAGGCAGGCAAGAAGAGTGGAAAAGCATACTTCAGATACTGGGAAGCAGTGTGCTGGGACCCCAGTGTGGAAAAGGAACACTGAATAGCTCAGCAGGCCAGGAGAACACACTTGGAAATGGGGACGTGAGCATTATGGCAGGTAGGAACCATGTTACAAGGACCAGAGCAAGTTCTATGACAGTACAGAGGTGGGTAGCAGATACAATACAGACCTCTGTAATCCTGGGCTCCAGTCTAAAGACAATCAAAGACTTTAAAGGAACGTCTGCATTTAGCAAGGTAACTATTTTTAAAAGAGGAAAGGAAGCTGGGTGGTGGTGCACACCTTTAATCCTAGCACTCGGGAGGCAGAAGCAGGCAAATCTCTGTGAGTTCCAGGCCAGCCTAGTCTACAGAGTGAGTTCTAGGACAGCCAGGTCTATTTCACAGAGAAACCCTGTGAAAACTAAAAATAAATAAATAAATAAAAATTAAAAATAGCAAAGGGTTAGAATTAGGATGTTAAAAAATTGAGAAAAAAAAAAGGCAGTAAGTTTTAACACCAAAATGAGTTAAGGAAAGATATGGAAGTTTAGGCATAAAGTAGAAATTCTTGAAATAAGATGAACTCCCTTCAGTGTGCATATGGGAGCCAGAGCAAGCAAGTACTGACAGTGGGGGGTTGCATAGGAAACGGCATGGTGAGTAAAAGTACCCTTACTAATGAATGGATCCAAAGAAGAGTCCCATGAGGAATTAACCAACAGTACTCAGTGAGGAGCCGAGGCATCCAGGACACAGGAACAAGCCAGTTGTTGAAGGTCTGGTGAGAGCTGTCTGAGGGTTTTCAGTGTTGTGAAGAGACACCACTATCATCATGACAGGGAGCGTGGCAGCGTGCAGGCAGACACGGTGCTGGAGCTGAGAGCGCTGCATCTTGCAGACAACAGGAGTTGACTGTGTCACTGGGCAGGGGTACACTGAGCATAGGAAACCTCAATACCCACCACCACAGTGACCCTGCAATAAAGCCACACCTCCTCACAGGGCCACTCCCTATAAGATTATGGGGGCCAATTACATTCAAACCACCACAAGCTCCAACAACATACAATGGACAGAACATTATAGTGTGAGGTAATGGGAAATGAGGAAATAAAGACAGTGATAGAAAACCCTATCAAGAAATTTACACACAAAACAAGGAAGAGGTGAAAAGTTAAACAGCATAAAGGTTATTTTTTCTGTAAAAGGGAAAGCCTGGCAATGACAGTAACGTAGGAATGATATGAAATGAAAATCTAAGCAGAAGGGCAACACTGGAGTCCCTCAAGTTGGTGAGGCCAAGGCAGAATTGCCTAGGGGCCAAATATTTTAATGGTGAAAGAAAAGAACTAAGTCAAGGCTTAGAAATACCATTCAGACAACTGCTTGCTAAGTAAAACACTCACTATCTTAAGTGCAGAGGACAGGGGAAGAACATATCTATTCACGCAGCAGAAGTTACCGCCAAACACAGAGAGAAGCTATCATGCATAATTGGACCTTCAGTTTTGGAGACTGGCTACACTCACTTCAGCAATAAGAAAGCTCAAATAACCCTTTCTGAGGCTGGAGAGCTAGCTCACTGGTTAAGAGTATGTGCTTTTCTTGATGAGGACTCACATTCAGTTCCCAACACCCAAGTAGGGTGGCTGATAACCACCTGTCTCTCAACTTCCCAGCACCTGAGCATACACCTAAACGTGCACACGCACACGCGCACACACACACACACACACACACACACACACGGGGGGGGGGGGGACCTAAAACCACCTCCCAAATTCCTAAATCTTCCTTTCGACTAATTTCTCTCAACTGTTAAACCATGTGCTACAAAGTATAGTATATGCAATTACAGTGAAAGAAGACTGCCGGAACTAAGGACATACAGACTTTAAAAATACTGCAACATACGACAGTGGTCTTTAGAAACACAAGCAGGCAGAAACACTCAAAAAAAAACATACAATGTAAAGGCACCAACAATTAACAATTCATACCCATTCCAGATACCATTCAGAGAAAATCAGTTCCATCGCCAGAAGCCATTTTCCTGGGCAATCTTTTCAGTACTGCTTTCGCCAGTATACAGAAAGAGGGGAGTTTCTGTAATACAGCTCTGCCTTTTATTGCCAAGGAAACAAAGAGCTGAAAATAGATAACTTAAACAGATGTGAACCTAGACAGTGTGAAGTCGGCTCTCACCCCAGCATCGGTTCATGCTTATCATCCCGAATATAGGACACTTACCCCTAGTTTACTGTCTAAAAGAAGGAATTGCATTGTTTTTCAACTGGGCTCTACAAATGTTAAAACTAACAAAGACTGATTTAAAATGTCCATCTAGTAAAATGCACAAGACTAAGACTCTAAACAAAAGACATGCGCAAAAAGGCTGAATTAACTGTAACTACAAGAACTGATCCTGGAAGAGAAAATAAACCTATTATCGAAGGAAGGAACTGTGTAACAAAAGCTTCTAGATGGTTCTAATGGGAGGGAGCGAGGGAGGGAGGGATGGAGGGGTACACATCCAAGCATCAGTGTGTTATACTACCAATGTCAGCAATTAATAAGGATGTACAAAATGTACATTATGGTATTTGAAGGCAGTGTGATCGCCTGGCTCTATAGAACAGATCACAGGGACAGGATAGGCATTATTTCCCACCTCAGAACACTAATTTACCCTTTAAACAAGTTTGCAGGTAAAGTAAAGGCCTCTCTTTCAAAATCACAACAATAGAGACAATAAAACCTTAATAAAATAGCATGGTGGGACTTTTGGGGATAGGGCAAGCTAGGATAATATTCTTGGCTACTACAATTGTTACTTGAACAAACAGAAATTACAGACAGGCTCACTGGTGGCCTGACAGCTGCATAAAAGCTATGTTGTTTTGTATGCTCAATACAGAAAGCCAAGGAAGAGAAGGTGAGAATACACAACTATGTACTAACACATCAAACTGTAATCTCACATGGTTTATAGTGGGTTCTTAGCATGACTCTTTAAACACAGGTATAACAAGTACTTTTGTTTAAAAAAAAAAAATTATCTTCTCAGACAGATGTAAGCACTGTTATAAAAGAAGCTTTGTGGGCTGGGGAGATTGGCTGCTCTTCCAGAGGTCCTGACTTCAATTCCCAGGAAATACATGATGGCTCACAACCACCTGTAAAGATCTGGTGCCCTCTTCTAGCCTGCAGGCCACATGCAGACAAAATATGCATACAAAATAAATATATAATTAAAAGATCAATAAAAGTAGCTTTGTGACTAAACAGTACACTCTTGGGTTCCTTGAAACCTGGATGTGTCATTTACCATTCTGGTTATCAGGGTGTCCATCATGTTACCCTTCAAGCCTTTACCGTGGCCTTTGTGATGGATTAATGTGATGGATGGGTTACCTGAATTACAGTGCTGCCCACGGAGAACACAAAGCCTTTTATTTTTCTTACAAATGATAACAATAAATCTGATAAATAACTGAAGTTCTGCTCTAAACTGATTGCATAAGACAATACACCTTACTGCCCACCTCAAGTTAATCGGAGGTCAGCTGCCCCTTGTCCCCACAGCTTATCATATCCGAAACACAGCTGGCTCGCCTTCCTTTTTCCCCTCCCAATAACCTATGAACGGGTGGTGTAGTTTGCAGGTTAAATTCATGTCTAAAAGACTTCTCAGAAGGTGCTGAAGGGAAGAGGGGAGGTCCTGAGTCTCCTCAGAGGAGATGTCAGGCACTGGGGGCTGACCTACTAGGGGCAGCATGGGGCCCTGTGGGAAGAAAAGTAAGAAGCAGGAGTACTTTCTGAAGAGATTCTGACAGCTAGAGCGGGCCAGGGTGACTGGTTGTGCTGGAATCATGTGTATGCTGCACCGCCCCCCCAACCCAAGAACAGGCTCCTTTTAGCATTTGTCTCATTCCCTGGGATCTGGTGGGCAATGTTGGATACAAAACCAGGGCTGGAGAAACAGAAATGAAGGTCAAAATCCCTACCTTCATCCTGCAAGCTAATACCTAAACCCTCATGTCTGGGGTGCCTGAGATGTCCAGAATGCATGTGGACAGTGAGAATCAGCTGTGCAAACTGACAACTAAAATGCATGAGACTGAGACCATCCCACTTTCCTTCTGATGTGACGGGAGAGGCTGGGCCAGTTGTGCTGGTGCAGTCATCCCAGTGGATGGAAATTATATCAATCAAGAGTCTTACTGCACTTGTATTTTTTGTATTCAAGTTTGCATGGTTTCTAATAAAGGATTCAAACCTGAGGAAGGGAGGGAGGGAGGTTGGTTGAGAGAAGGAAGGAAGGAAGGAAGGAAGGGAGGGAGGGAGGGAGGGAGGGAGGGAGGGAGGGAGGGAGGAAGGAAGGAAGGAAGGAAGGAAGGAAGGAAGGAAGGAAGGAAGGAAGGAAGGGACCTTAGCTAGGTTGTAAATGTTGAAGGGGAAACTGTTTCTTCCAGTCAAATGATTATCATTTTACAATTTAAGTCTACTGATGTTCCACAAAGGAAAATCACTAAAGAGAAAGGATATTTAAGAGAAGCTGTTTTTGAATTTACTAACATTTCTCCCACGAGGACTGGGACCTGGCCTGGAGTAGTCACTCAACAACAGTCATTTGCCTAGCATGTGTGAGGTCGTGCAGTCAATCCCTTTAACTACAAAAAGGGGAGGGGTGGGGGCAAGAAATTAGGGAAGTCAGGAAATAAACAATAATTTCAGAAACACAGCAAAATTAAAAATACTATCTTGCCAATTCGACAGCTAAACAGTGACACTAGAGGAAACTGCATCCTTGCTGCAACTTCTAAAACAGCAGAAGCCAGTGTCAGGATCAGAAATGCTAAGTGTGATCAACTGCGCTAATACCTGGAAGTCTATGCTTGAAAAGCCTCCATCGGAACAAGGGCAGCTGCAGTCAAGTGAAGACCTCTCTCTCCTAGTGAACAATATACAGACTCAGAGCACAGCATGAGGCTCAGGGATCGGGTACAGCAAACAGTATCAGACTAAATTTCAGAGCCCTCCCTGGCCCTTACCCTCTCAGTAAAGAAGGCAGCCCAGGGCTCTTACAACAGTGATCAAAGAGGGTTTCACAAGGGTCATAACAGGGCTAGACAAACATTATACACTATTACACGTATCTCTGTAACCTCCAAGTGTTCTTCAGTAATTTCTCATGTTTCACAAAACTGATTTCATAAAAGCAAGATCCTTATAGAAGGAAGGGCTGCTTACCTGCTAGCAAGGCTGAGCAGTTCGTGTTTATCTGCTACGGCTGACTTCTTCTCAAGCTCCCACATTAGGACATTGATGAGATGGGAATTCTTAATCACAATTGGCACTTCCTCAAACATGTGCTCGAAGGTGATGCTTGCCTTTTTCAACCTGTGAAGTAAGTTACAAACACTTGAGGCTGATGGTCAGAACTGAAAAGCAAATTGACTATTTCATACATTTTACAATGTTACAGGCGGTGATTTGAGTAACTCTGAAAATGATCTGAATCTGAGCTGTAAGCCTGAAAATGAGGTCTTTGGCAAAAGAAACTACTCATCCTCTGAAATCAGGAGCTCTCAAGTTTCCAATGACACTGAAATGTCACCGTGAATTGTGACACAATCTACACTTATAGCAGCTAGAAAAGGGCCATGCTCTTTACACTTCTGGAAAGTTACAGCCAAGTCCCAGGAGATGCCACACCAAGTGCAGAACACAGCTTCTCCTAGGTTAGCTGCAGCTCCACACTCACAACTAGTCACGAGTCAGCTTTTCTTTCAAAAACCTACATATGTGACTTTTAGGAGCCAATTGGGAAAGCAGAGATGAAGTGTCCACCATGAAGTTTCATACGAAGTAAGAACTTTCACAGTAACAGAAGACTTCTAAATATACTTACTCCCATGCCACAAAGTGGATCACACAACAGTTAATGTGCTGTGTACCTGTTACCCCTAAGTTTCCAGCAAGCCCCTTTTTTCTCTGAATCCTTGAAAGGTTTAGGTCTATTCCACTTCCTCATGAAACAGGCCATGTGGTGCAGAAGCAGGCTACAGCCACTCTTCTCTCTCCTTTTATTCCACCACTTCTAAAGGGCTTCAAATATGGTGGCTAATTAATTCCCACTAACTGAAGTCACCAAGTAAACACAGCAGATGAGACTTTCCATACAGAATCGTTTAAACACGGAAAGGGAGAAAGCAAGTGGCATTTGCACAATGCAGAAGTATTTTCATCCACACGGAGATGGCATTACCATAGCCCAATACATGACTAACTGAAATCCTAAAAGAAACACAAGTCCTTTACAACGTGCCTCATGGGCCTAGAACACTTACGCTTCGGGGGAGAAGTCCTTCTCTTTACAAACTTCCATCAGTTTAGGAGTCAGTCTGTATGCCTTCAGTGACAGAGATCCTTGGGCAGTTTTTATGGGATCTCAAAAAAGAAAAAGAAAGACATTACTGAGAATACCATCACTACTAGTTCTCATACAGCACTAATTCTAGGCACACTGTTACTTATCATATAAGCTTTAAAATATGAAGACCAAATTAAATAATCAGGACATAATTTGAAGCTGACTAAACCCAGCATAACTTCCACTTTCAAACAAAAACTAGGTGGGATACCTTCAAATTCATCCCTCAACAAGAACCAGTAAACTTGGTGAAAATTAAATATGTGATAATGTTCCATAGATCTTGCATAGATAGGAAAAAAATACTCATGAATATTAAACATAGAAAATCTCTGTGTACACTTATACAGCCCTTCAGTCAATAAACTGAAAACAAATAGCCCTGGGAACAAAGCGTATCATCCCAGTGAGTGCTGTCCACAGTTCTTCACTAAAGCAGATGTAAAAACAAAACCACTCCATCCAAGCGCTATCACAACGTGTCGCTTCAGTTTTACAGAAACAAAGTTTGTCAAAACTGACTGCTTGAACACTCAGCAAGGAAGGGAGCTTAGCACTTGCTACACGATAACGGCTCTGGTGTGCCAACGCTTGCCTAAAACCTGTGTCAACATTCATGTTGTCTGAAATTCAACACAGTGAAACTTTTAGCAATAGGTGATAAAATGAAAACCAAAATAGATTGAAGCAAGTGGAAAATTCATCAAGGTCTGATGATGCAATGTTTCCAGCCAATATAAGTGCACTTTAACAACTTGTTCTCTCTGTAATCCAATTGCTAACACACTGAAACAATTTCAGGGCAGCTCATAAGATTGATCGTATTCATTAGTATTTTTTCTGACAGATACTCAGGACGTTACATTTACTTCTCAGCTGGAAACTATATGCAAGTCTGCCAGATATGGCAAACTGTGAGTGTTTGGGAAGGGGGAGGCTATAAAGCTGTTAAATTGCCTACGGTTCTGATATAGCACAGAACATCTGGTCTGGAGAGCTTGAGGAAACACCATTAAATAGGCCGAAAGAAAAAAAATCTTTGTGCTAAGAAACAGTCCAGGTTTTGTATGCTGCTGTCAGAGGTTTAAAAAAAAAAAAAAAAGAAAAAAGAAAAAAGAAAGAAAGAGAAAAAGAAAAGGAAAACTTGGCACGCTGTATTATGATTGGTCAGTCACGTACGGAACCAGACACGCCAGCAATCGGAGTTTGTTAGACATCTGGTCTTATTCCACCAGCCCCTGCAAGGAGGGAGGGAGAGGAGGAAAAAAATTGAAGCAGCTACTCCAGCATTCCAAAATGTACACATCAGGGCTCTGATAGCAAGAAAAATAAACAGAAAGAAGGAAACCCTGTCTAGACGGAGCTGCTGCTGAGGCTGCTGCAGAACGGGGCTGATATTTACTTGCGAAGGCCTGCCAGGGCTGCTCCACGAGTCAGAAAGACAGAAAGCAAAAATAGCAGTAATAATATTACGGGAGGAAAAGAATAATAAAGGAGCCTCCTACTAACCGTAAATGAGAACGACGGATTCTTCAATGGCGTGCTGGTAACTGAACTGAGAATCCAGAAGTGCCCGGGTAACAAACGAGCCATAATACGTGGACTGATACCAGCCCACATGGAGGTGATCGATGTTGACATGGCGGAGGCTGCGCATCATCTCCATCTGATACTGGACTAGATGATGTAACAGAGGGCAAGTAAAAGAAGCAAAAGTAAATAAATAAATGAATGAATGAATAAAAATAAACAAATGAAAACCCCAAGCATTTAAGGATGCCCCAAACATTAAAAATAAACCTTTTTTCATTTACACAAAAGGAGAACAAAGTTTTCAAATCACTTCAAATAACTGGTCTTTCCCTTTTTTCTTTAACAAAAACACCAAGTTAATAAATGTCCTGTTCTAATCAAGAAATTGTTAGTTGTAGTCCCTACTTCCCTTTTGAAAGCTCTAAAAACAATTTACAATTATCAGACTGTATCATTTCATCCAATTGATGGTTGAGACTGGTTATCTCTGTCTCCTTCACATGCAACTTTGGAACTAAGAACTAAATCCATCAAGAAAACTAAGGGGAAACAATTACCACACCATTTACACAGGAACCAGACACAGGCTATAACGGCTTCAATATAAGAATTCATTTTTGCCTTCATCTAGTGCCCCCTACTGCATCTACTTTACTTGTCTTTTAAAAAGCATTCTCTTCTCTTTGTATTCATTTGTGTTAACAGATGATATTTTATTAGACTGGTTGTATTTTAATAGTATATATACAATGAAAGGTCCAACAGTGTTTCCTTTTGCTGAATTAATGAAATATATATATAATTTAAAGCAGTGATACTAAAAAAAAGAGGTACACATGACATTAAAAAGCAATATAAAATTAGGGAAATGGCTCAGAGGTTAAGAAAAGTGAGTCTAGCTATCAGGGTCCACATCAGACAGCTCGAAACCACCTTTACCTCCACCTCTGGGGAGTACTAGATGCCTGCATCTTGGCTCTGCAGGTGCGTGCACACACGCGCGCGTGCACACACACACACACACACACACAGACAAATAAATAAAAATAAATCTTTTATAATAAGCATTACAGCCTAATGCACACCAAAGGTAAAATAAAGGGGAAAGTTTTATAGTCAACATATAGTCCAAGCTATGGAACAGCATAGCCATAACTGGTTGACCTTGAACCTGACAACTTTATTTTCAAAACTTGACTATGTTTTACCAAGAATTGTATTACTGCTATTCCTCTGGCCATAACACTATGGTTTCAAAAAGAAAAGACTCACATCACAACGTTTTTCAACATCTGTTATTAGGCAACGAAATTATAGATTTTATATCAAGGAGTAGGAGATGATTGAAAACTCTTCACCTACTAAAAACTGCAGAAGAGACCCAGACAGAGTGCTCCTATCACTACCTGCAAGGACCAAATTTCAATTCCAGTAATCTGCAACATGTGGATGCTGTGCTGCTGTCAAGATGCACATGGATACAGACAACTCTCTTCAAAGTGAGCTCATTCTTCATTATCCTCTGACTTGTATTACTTCTTTTGTTCTTTTTTTAAGAGTGCGGTGGAGGAGCTGGAGAAATGGCTCAGCAGTTTAGTGCACTTGTTACTCCCACCTGTATTTAGTTCCCAGCACCCACATGGCAGTTTACAACCATCTGTAACTCCAGTTCCATGGATCTTCTACCTCCATGGGCACCAGGCATTCAAATGGTGCATATACATACATCCACCCAAAACACCCATATACACCCAAAAAAGCAAAGAGAGTGACAAAGAAAGTAATACTAATATACTGCTCGATTTTATAAATTCTGTATATTTTTTTTCAACCTTATAAATAATATGTGAAAACAAAGCCCTATAACCATGTTACATTCTGGACCACAGTTAAAAACACCACAACTAAGCTGGAGGCATAGCTTGCTCAATGATAGAGCATGGGAAGCCCCCAGTTCAATACCTAATTAACCTAAAAAGAAAAACAGTAATTTAACAAGCTGCAACTAAATCAATAATCTTATATCAAGTCCTTTTGTCTTAGTATCATCTCTTTCTGTAATGTAAGAGACACCCCATAATTCCTTAACAGCAAACTTAACAGATTCTCCCTCAACAACCCAAATCATTCCTTTGGTCTCTAGCCATACTCTTAAGTTAATGTAAACTTATTTGAGGAATTTTAAGCAAATTTAACTTACAAATACATGCCTTAATACTATCAGTAAAATGGAAGCTAAAATGAAATTTCCTAGATTGTTTTACAATGAAAGTGAAAAGGGGATGGAGGACTTATCAAATAATCAACAGAACAAATACCATTAAACAAACACACAAACACCAATACTTGAAAAACTTCTGTCAGTGAGTGGCTGAGCCTTAGCCTGAGAGGGTTAGCATCTACCACACATCTGCTAGTTAAGTGGCCAAGTCTTAGTGCCATCTACTAACTTAGAAGAGTAGAAAAAAGATGAAGTGTTCCTGCCAGTCTTAACATTTTCCCTGTGGGGATTGTGCTGTCTCTGATCTTTAGTTTTCTCATTTCTAAAGACATCTGAGAACTTAGCTAGGCCTCCACATTGTTCATTGGACATGCTAATTATAAACAATGACTTGTCTATTAGTTAAAGCAGGCATGCATTAGTACTTTAAGCAAAATGCATTTTGGGGGAAAATAGTCTATAAGCTTGCTAAGATTCCCTCAAATAGCTTGGATAAAATGGATTTTACAAGAGCATTTTAGAATATGTCACAGAGTTTTAAAATATTGCAAGATCAGTAGCAAAACTAGCAAGTCCAGCTCCCCTACTCTTCTTACACCATAGGACCTCCAATAAGACCAATAAAGATGAAGCCCTTCTCTATACTAGAAGAGGCAGAGACACAAGCCCCCAGACTGCTGGATGTATAAACAAGCCTGGGGGCTAAGAGACCTGATTATCAAGGGAGGGCCTCTGAACCACAAAGAGCTAAGATTCTGGAAGATCCTTCACAAGTCACCTAACTACTTTAAATAAATATAAAAGTGAAAGAGCAAAGACAAGTGAATGAACTAAACTGCTTTTAGAAATTCCAAAGTGGGCCAGATATGATGGTGCATGCCTGTAATCCCAACACTTGGGATAGAGACAAGCGGATCGACTGCCACAGTTGAAGGCCATCCTGATCTCTGTATAGAGATTTACATAGAAAACCCAAAACATCCCAGTAATTTCACACTATACAACAAAGTCTGTGCTTGGTCCAGGCTGTACAAAGTGTCTTTAACATGAGATGGCTGTACTGTGAGGCTGAGGCAGAGGCCCCATCCAAAGCATGTGCTATCTGAGAAAGGTCACTTGGAGTCAACTCAGAAAATGATGTTTCTACCATATACAAGGGAGGAACCAGACAGCTCACAAACAGCCATGTGAACTGAGTCTATCTGCAGACATTTAAGGACTGTCCTGGTTCTCAGGTTGACAGAAACATGTGGTCCTTATGTCCCCACTTAGCTTTTTTTCCTCCCACCCTAATTTTCAAACTGCTTGTTGCTAAAACTAAGTACAAGTAAGTAAACAGTAGAAAGCACCACTAAATTCTCAAGACAAAAGCAACACTCCCAGCAGCCACCATCAGTCAACTCAATTAAGGTGACACAGCAGCCGGCACCCATTTACGTGCTCACTGTAGAGACACAAGGAAACCAATCATGAAGTGGTGACGTGACCATTACAGTAAGCTTTACACTGTTAATAACAAGAACGGTCATTTTAGATTTTGATTGCTAGGTTAACACCACTACTTTTGTGGCTGTGTTAAGTTCATCAGAAGTAGGCAGATAAGATGAGCACATAATCCACAGATAAAAAGAGAAGCATCAGGATGTATGGATGTGGCCAAGTTCTTGCCCACAGCTCTGGGAAACATGACAGAATTCAAACTCACATCTAGCCATTCCTATGTAGGGAGTAGCTCACAACAGAAGGAAGAAAACCAAACCCAAAGGAAGCAAAAGGAAAAAAGAAAAGGAGCCCTTAATAGACAGCCATAACTCATCACTGCTGCACTAATGCAGACCAGTGAAGCAACAAGCTGCCAACTTCTCAAAGCTGGTCATGGCTGGACACTTCCATCTTGGGTGACAATTTCTCTACTTAAGAGAAGCAGTGGAAGCAGTCGACCAATGGTATTCACTTCTGAATTAATGGCTTGGGGATCCTGGGAATTTTCCAAGGAAAAATGACAACGGGAAAATACTGCAGAGGAGGGACTACTTTTAAATTGACAATAATGTTCAACAGAAGGGCTTAGAATTTCATTACAAGAAGTCTGGGGAAGAAGTTTTAAAATATTCTTAAAACCAAACACTCAGACTGGAGAGTTACCTCTGCAGGGAAGGGGACCTGCTGCCAAGCCCGATGGCAACTAAGTTCTATCCCTGGGACCCTCAAGGTGAAAGGAGAGAAACAATGGACCCCTGAAGTTGTCCTCTGATGTCCACTCTCACACATTCCTAGTCCTCCACACAATAAATAAAATGTGATTCGCTTTTTTTAAAGCAAGGCTAGTCTCTAACCACCTGAAAAGAAGCAGCAAGCAGCAAATACATGTTGCAGACAAACTGGTGGCTATTACTAAGCCAAGTCAGGTTACCAATACAAAACCTGCACCCAGATATAAGGGAGGCAGTGCCCTAATATGAAGCAGCTTATTATTACATGGGTTGAAGCTTCACAAATCACTTCAACCTCTACCATCATCTTAACCACCTAGGCCTTGTCGAGCAACAGAGAACCTCATGGCAGCACTAGCAGCTGCTCCAGGGCCTCAGGCGGACTGCCCAGTAACTACTCTTTTAAAAGCCCACATCCCAGTGCTTTCTTTTATTTTGAAATCCAGGAACCCTGAAAACAAAATTATCTTCTACTGGCCTGCTCTGTCTGGAGTGACTCTGGCAGCCTACCATATGGACAAGAGGACTGCCCACTCTAGAACAACTAACCATCTCCTTCACAGTCACTTCCTTGCTAGACCCCTTTTATATCCATTTTCAAAACCGTTTATTGTGTATGTGTGTACATGTAAAAGTCAAGCAGCTGGCTCTCCTCCTCCACCATTCAGGTTCTGAGGACTAAGCTCAGGTCACTGAGTGGGTACCCACTG